TCTATCTATCTATCTATCTATCTATCTATCTATCTATCTATCTATCTCTGTGTGTGTGTGTGTGTGTGTGTGTCAGATGTATTTTTAAGTAGATTTATAAAATAACGTGCTTTAGAAGACTCTTAAGAACAATACTAACTTTTGTGTCATCCTCGCTCAGGGGCCCTTACATATCTTCTCTGTAAAATTGCAATGTTAGGATAAGGGCTGTCAAAGCAAGCGTTTGATGCACTTAATTAACTTTCATTTATGAGACCACCTTTTTAAGGTATGCAGTTAAAAACAAGCCTTATAAATAAGCATTGTTTTTTTTTAATTTTGAATTTATTTAATTTGAATTTATTAGTTAAAATTTAGTAATTGTATCACATTTAAAATATATGTATCTGGGGCTAGGCACATAGTTGATAAAGTACTCATCATGTAAGTATAAGGACCTGAGTTTAGACCCAGAACCCACATTTTAGAAGAAAAAAAAAGTAAATGTTATAGGGAGTGCTTGCAATCTCTTTGCTAGGGAGGAGTCAATAAATGAATGGGGGCTCCCTCCCTGGTCAGCTAGTCTAGCAGCACAATTCAAGCCAAAGAGAAATCCTACCTCAAAAACCAAGGTAGATGACATCTAAGGAATGATACCTAAGTCTGGCCACTCTGGTTTATATATGGCACATGCATACATGTATTAAAAAATTCCATATGCATGTATATATACACATATAAACAAACCCAAATGAAAAGAAAACACATTTCTGAATATTAAAGTAGCCACTTCATGTATTACTTATAATTGCATAGCATAGCAGAGTCAAGTGGGGCCTAAATGTGGAGGAAATGAAGGTGTCCGAAGCAGAGGTAGACCATTACTGAGAGTGATTTCCCCCAGAGGGCACCAGTGAAACAGTTTTCACTTGAATCTTGGCAAGGATTTGTTCCCACCCGCCATGACACCCCTATAGTCAACCCTACCATTCAGTTTAAGAGGTGCCACGTGGTGCTCTCTGCCCTCCTTTTACAGAAGTGCCCCAGTATCCTCTTAAAGAGGGACAGAGACAGAGACCTTTGAAGCCTGGGTGGATCTTGGCAGTAATGAATTTTTATCTTCTGTGGGACTCCCTCTTAATCGGATTCAGCATTATTTGGTTGCCTATGTTAAAAAAAAAATGACCAATTCAAATTCAAATGTAATGACAATGAAGTCCTTCTATTCAGGACAGCTACCTCTGTTTTTATCCCTACAAGCTCCTTTGCATCAAAACCACGCGGCTTTCTTTTTCCCTTCTGTAACATCATAACTAGCTAGATAGAAAAGATATCTTTGCTAACTTCTAGACATGAAATACAGCGTGTTCTAGCTTTTCAGCTTTATTTTTTTTTAATGCTCTAAGAGATTTGGTTGTGAATTCTTGGGGCAGCAAAAACTATTCATTTTGAAACATGCAAATGTGTCTCTCCATCACCTAGGAAACTATTATGGGACACCCAAACCTCCCAGCCAGCCAGTCAGTGGGAAAGTGATCACGACGGATGCCTTGCACAGCCTTCAGTCTGGCTCCAAGCAGTCGACCCCTAAGCGAACAAAGTCCTACAATGATATGCAAAATGCTGGCATAGTCCACACGGAGAATGAGGAAGAGGATGATGTTCCTGAAATGAACAGTAGCTTTACAGGTAAGGATAGATTGTGTCCCCTCTGAATGGTTCTGGGTGGTCGGAGTCTTTACAGAAAGTTTCCAACCAGTGTTTGAGGATGTTGAGATTCAGACTCTAACCACAGCATGCTGGGGAAGGGAGAGTCCTTCCTTGGTCTATGTACCATGCTTGCTCAAGAGAGAGAGTCTTTGAACTTCACTCAATCTTTAATGCACTAAGAATAACTACCTGAAATTTCAACCTGGTTTCTTTCTCTTCAAAAATACTACAGTATGTTTAAAATATTTTGTGTTTTGTTTCTTGATTTTTTTTTCTGGGTGGGGGATCATGAGACATGATTATGGTTACTTAGTATGAATGGAAGCATGAAAAATGGGTTTTTATCATGTTCCTGTCACCTGAGGTTATACCACTGAGCTACTGGCATCCTTTTCTCACCTAAGTAAAGCTATAATGGAACCATGCCAGATCTTCAGTTAACTTGTACAAAGTTTACTGTATATCCTACAGGGGGAATGATGAGAAAGTCAATGTATAAGATTTTTAAATTCATGTGCATGCAGTATTACATACTTGGTTTACTGATATGCTATATATTCCGAAGGGATGGTTAAGGATAAAGCCTTGGGTCAGTATAGGATCCACAGACTGGGATGTATTTTCTTGGTTAGTATGCCATATTTTTCACAATATGTGTTTGATCTGTATACCACAGCTCAACATGTAATAAATAACAATATAAATGGCTATGCTGTTCAAATTTACACCATGGCACAAACACCCAGCCAATAGTATATATGAAGTTGCTCATATGTTATGTGACTTAGATGTCCATCTTGTTTTCTCCATTTTGTCTCATGGCTTTCTTTTATTATCTCAGAATTGTAACTATGGATGGGTTATCTATTTTCAGCATATTAGATCATCTTCTCTCTGTATAACCAGACTTTTGTCATTATCTAGTTAGACCTAGCCACAGTGAGTAAAGAGATTGGTCAGTCAGTATGCCCACCTCATGCCTTCATCACCAAAATCCAATAGGAAATTCAGGGGAAAGTTGTCATAGTTGAACACTGTCTGTTGTGCTTCTCAGAGGCTTTGCCAGTCATTCAATTAAAATACCTGAGGTGGCAATGAAAGGTTTGATAATTGTGTTACTACAATAGTGTGGCTTAACCTTTTTGCAAGAAATATTGGGTAAATCAGGAGCCCTTAGGTATTATGGCTTGATTTGTGGTGATTTACAAACAGTATCCATAGCCTCATTTGTGTGTAAAATGGCTAGAATTAGACTATTTGTAGCTTTCTCTGAGAATTTGATTCTATGAAAACTTCATTTTTCTTTCATTTAAAATTGAATAGACAGTGGCTGACCTTTAGTTGTAATATCTAGAAGATATTTGCCATTCTTATGCATATTTTTATTAAAATCAATTGATTGAATTTAGTATTCCTATTCCTTGAGAGTATTCATGCCTTTATACTGATCTTCCCCAAAATGAAAACAGATTATGCACAAGTGTTATCATCTCTTTTAAATACATCTAATACTTTAATGTCTTGATAGTTCAGTAGATAAGAATAGAAAATCATGATCTAACTCACAGCAAAGAAGAGATCCACAAAGCAGATCTAGCAGCCCAGATTCAGTGAAGCACCTCTGTCAGTACAGGAGTACTGAGGAGTGGATACCAGGAGTAGATGGCAGGTGTAGTCCCTAGGAAATGACTCAGAGGTAGTCTCTCAAGTAGACTTGAAGAGTGACCTTCAGTAGACCACAGGAGTATTCCCCAAGAGTAGATCCCTGGAGTTGGCCCCAGTGTTAGGTCCCAGGAGTGGTCTCCAGGAGTACACCCCAGGAGTGGTTCCCAAGACTAGTTCCCAAGAGAAGCCTGAGGAGCTGCCCCCAGGAATAGACCTCAAGAGTAGACACCAGGAGTAGTCCTTATGAATAGACTCCAGGAGTAGTCCCAACTAGACTGTCACAGTGGTCTTCAGTAAACAACAGGAGTATTCCCCAAGAGTAGACTCCAAGCATAGATCCCTAGATTGGCCCCAGGAGTTGTCACCAGATTTGTTTCCAGGAGTAAGCCCCTGGGGGCTCGTGTTCCTTTACCTGTGCTCTATGTACATGTTAGTAGGGATTCTTGGCAGAAAGCAAAATCAAGCTCATGATAGTAGCTGTAGTTATTGGTGGGTTTCCTGTTTTTCCTATTATAACATCCTATTGGTAGAAGCCAGGTCTTAAAGTCTGACTTCTTTATCATTCTCAATTGAAATCCTAGCATCGAAGAAAGGCATTTGTTCCCAGGTCATCATTGATAAATTAGTCTTACCATCCACTTAGACACTGAAAAGGAAGCCAAATGATAAGTGATCTGTACAAACTCCTGCCTTAATACCAAGAAGGCAAATAGCACAAAGTAATGCCCTATGCAGAGAGGATAGCTCAGTGGTATAACACATGACCAGCATACAAGTTCTGGACCTGATTCCAAACAATGATCTGGGGATTGAGGATGAGAGAGTGTAGAGAAAGATAATAGAAAAGAGAAAGATGGGGAGGGTTGCTTGATGTGTCTTTTGATAGGATAACCTCAGCATGTAAGGAATATGTTAAATAGATACTAATTTATAACACTGATGCTCTGTCATGCACTAACTCCAACTGATGCTTTCAAATAATTAACACTACCTCTTCTGTGATGTATGTGTTAAAGGAATTGCTTCAAATAATTTTGCCCTGTCTACCTCTTTAACTTGCAATCCACCAGCTCTGAGCTAACAGCTCCTTGAACAACAGTGGCGTAGTAAGGTCTTAGCTCTGCTTTAGACTGACCTTGCTAAAGTTATGACAGTCATGTCCAAATGTAGAAGCACAGTGTGTTTATAGTCACCAGGACATTAAAAAATAATCTGACATTGCTGCTGTCCTTTGATTGGATCATTTGAAGAAATTGTACCCCAGAATGATGCCCATGTACCATTCATTGTCTATAGCGGGACCCCAGATAGAATAGTGGCCACATGGATCCTGAGGGCATAGCCTGTACCTTCTTTCTGATGTGATGATAGCAGACACTCAGCAATGAGCAGACACTAACCAGAGGATTGATGGTCAAACACTGGGTACTGGGACAGTCTTCCAACAAATGGTTCCTGAATTCCAGAGCTAAGAGCAATCACTCAGGGTAAATACTTCTTATGTGTACTTAATGATGACAGAATTATACTGTTGGCCAAAGTACACTATTATTTAGACAACCAAAAACTTTAAGAAAACAATTTTGGGTCTGGAAAGACAGATCAGTGAGTAAGTCTTGGCTGGTCAAGATAAAGGAGCTGAGTTCAAATCCCAGGTGGGAATAAACTCCCACATAAAATTAAGATTTTAAACAACTCACCTGCTACCTGATTTTATGTCCATATAGTCTTTGGAGAACTGTCTGAAAACATGGTGCTTGTATGAACTGAGTCTTTTTCCATTTGGTGCTTTTTTTTTTTTTAAAAGTCCCTTTAAATATATGCCTCGATCCTTTTGTTTGTAACAAGGAGTCACGTCAGTATTTAG